ATTTCTGTACCTGTACGATCCTCACACGTAACCCGAAGTAGTGCCAACACTGCTTCGGGTTTAGTGTGAGGATCGCAAGGTCGTCTGCGAATGCTAAGATGGATTCCGTGTATTTTTATTGACCTTAAACCGGTAGCCCACCATTTCGCATATTGCGATATTGTCTATTAATTTATTTATAACTGTATTAAATACTACTGATGATAAATAGCAACCTTGTAACAACCCTACTTTGTATTCGAGTGGTGTTGTGTGTCCCTCTTTTGCTGTGAACATACAAATTTTAATTTACTATAGTTTAGAAATAAATTTCAGAGGTAATTCTGTAACTTTAAGTGGATAGTTTTTTTGGATGGTTTATTAAGTACCTTTGAACATTAGATTACAAACCGCCTGTGAATAGTGTAATAAATATTTAAGAATAGAGGTCCGATAGAGGATTCGACTTGTTTCCGACAACTATTAGCAATTGGAATAAATGTAATTGTGAATAGATAGCTATTGATACGTCCGTGTGGTGACGGATTAAGAATACGGATATCACCACCCCTATTCATGCCGTGGGTGTCGTCAGAGGCAACTAAGGGAGCTAACGTAAGACAAACAGCACTGCAAAGAGAAGGAAAACTTGACACAAACCCTATACCAACCCGTCTGGCCAGCGTGGTATAGTAGGTCAAAACCACATTTCTAAAGAGAGGCAAATGTCCAGCAGTGGATTATTAAAGGCTGTTGATAATGATGTGAGCTATTGATAATAATTTTTGTTACTATGATTCTATACTGTTATTGTGATATGTCTTTTAAGTTTTATTGTGCAAACATACTTTGGTAATAAATGGATTTCTTATTATTTTTGTTTGTTTTTCTCAGTTCGAGGCTCGTTTTAACTGTATTTACGGGCCAAAAGTGTGTGGTTTGGTTATGTAGTAGTAGGTAGTTGCTGTGTGTATTGTACTGTTTCGTTTTCTTCGATATCCATGAATTTTCTTAGCATGTGTATAACAATGCTGCTTTCTATAGATTTTTGACACGGAATTGTGTAAATCTGTTATTTTAAATTTATGGTGAAGGCGTTTATTATTATTTTACTTAATTAATATTTTACTTTAATTTAAAATTACACAAAACAGTTTAATAAAAGTTACTATTGTAAGCCTGCGAAATATGAGTGCACGGCAGGTCAGTGTTCCATGTTTAACTGTCAAAAATCACTTCATGGTAACGCCAATCACGCGACCACTGACCGGAGATCGGTGACTCGCCTGCTAATCACCGCGTTTATGGTAAAATAAAGCGACCGTTAAATTATTGGCTAAAATTGATTTGTTTTAAGAGTTCATGGTAGGCCAACAGGTCCTCAGGTGACCAGACAGGTCAGCTCGTTGGCCCTTATACCATAAAGTAACCTTATAATCTTAAATAAAGGTAATTACTACACGCTGTTAAGCATTACTGTTGATTAAAAATAGTTAGTAGAGAATCCAAGTTATCGCTCAAGGCTGTCTTTATTGTGTTAAACGATAAAGCAAATATCCTTGAGTACCGCGAAGTGGTGTTTTTGCTTGGCGTATTTTAAACCCAAAGTATTTTTGTATCTAATACAGGTTGGTACTATCGCAATTTTAAAACATGTTATAATATGAACTCTTATTAACTCTAGTCACTAATTCCCACATTTTAAATGTTAAAGTGAGTTTATTTGTCTGATTTGCTTTAACGCCAAAATTATTACTTGTATAGGGAATAAAGTTAAAATAAACTGATTAATCTATTTTTATAGAACGATTAAGGTTTACTTTTTCATTTATTAAATACTTCCTGCATTTTATATTTCACGGGGTGGACTTAATACAAGAAGCCAGTATCTAAGAGAAAAACCTTGGGTAGAGTAGAGTACAAAGTAAGTACATTCGATATATTATATTATTGGTTCTTCTGTCATTTACATTATACATATGTCCATAAAATATCTAGTTAAACGTGAATAGAAAATGGACGTCGCAGTTTTAACTGTTTTAGTTACTTAGTAAGTTTACATTGCCGACACGACGTATAAAATAAACATTTTACGAGAGGTCAGTCGCGTTGGAATGGAATACGTATGTTCGGTGTTTTGCGCACTTGAAGCGAATCACTTCAATGCACTTATGCCCATCCCTGTGAACTATGTAATAAACAGACAAGAAAACTTTTTTATGATATTGGGGGATCAAACGAGCAGACGAGACTCCTGATGGTAAGTAACACCAATGGAGACCTGCAACTCAAGAACCATAAGTGTGTTGCCGCTTTTCGACCGCCCACCGGAATCACGTTTAGAGGGAGGGGGAGGGGAGCTCACTCACTCACTCGGTGAAACGAAAGAATTGGTTAAAGCACGCCCGTCCCAGGGTAAACTCTAGTCACTAATTCCCACATTTTAAATGTTAAAGTGAGTTTACTTGCCTAATTTGCTTTAACGCCAAAATTATCACTTTTATAATGATGGGTTGTCAGAGATACAGAAAAGGAATAACATTATTCCTGGGAAATACTTATTACTCAATCTTATTACTGCGTTAAAGATTATATTAATGATAAATCTGCTTGGGATTGAGTTGCTCCAACCACTAGATGTTGCTGGTCATCAGAACATTGGTTTGTAAGCGCCGTCGCCGAAGGAGGTTCCATCGACCCGATCGGGTTTTGTGGAATCTTCATTGGCTATCAGTTTTTGTTACAGGAGTCTTTTCTGGTGGGTCGCGTTATGAACCTGCATAGCTTTAGTTATAAGCTCGACTGGTTTATGTTAGGGCTTGCAGTAGGGATACAAATGTATTTATGTGACTCTTATAACCTTTCACTAGGTCATCAGGGTCGATTTTACCCTTTTATTCTAGTGTCTTGTTTTTTTTTTATTTCATTTCCAATTGTACTATCTACTGAAGTTTAAAAGTTTTGATAAAAATATTTTCTGTACGTGAGCGTAACTTATTCTAAAAACTTGTGTAAGATTAGTTTACATAAATTCTTAAGAACGTGATTCTTATGTACATCACTAGTAAGTATAAATTAGTATGATAAACATATATGATCGACTGCTAACAATTTGTATATATGTGGAGATGATTTCATTGACGCTATGATGGGTTCCTATTGGCAATTTGTTTTGTAATATTGGTTTTGTCAAAGACGGTTGATAAAATAGTAAAGCACGATTACATGTGTCTTATGTGAGTATAGACTAGATAAAATGATCATTAGGGATAGGACACTTCACACAAGGTCATAAACATTATATATGCAATGTATCGAGATATCGTCATGCATATGAATTATAATGTACTCATAGCAATGGCACTCTTTTAGGATATTTCCATCTTGTTGGCTATTGAGAAATGAGCTTGTACTATACGATCTGAAACTAGGACGAACACACACAAAGGTGCGTGTATCGTAGTAAGCGGAACGGAGTATTGCAACCACCAATGAAATCTTGCATGAACTCGGAACAGTCGAAGTTATTTTAGGAAATCTGGACTCACTCCAAAAAGCTGAGAGAGTTAGAATCAAAATCACTCGGTCACTTTCCTCGTTGAGTCAATGACATGCGTGAGTAAGTTGTCTCATCCAGAAAGTGCGAATTCTGTAATACGAATATTCATGGAAACACCTACATTTTCAGATATTGTATGACGTTATTTAATGTGATCTTCTAAAGCGTGGCTACCGGAAAAATGTTATAGGTAGAAATTGTGATTCAGGTCAGATAAATAACCCAGACGCGGTGAACAGAAAGCAGGCAAAGAACGTTCTGTGAATTTAAATACAAGATATGAGTCAAGTATTTGTTAGGAACGTACGTAAATCACATGTGTTAAGAAGCATATTGGATATCTATTTACATAGTCCATTCGACTTTGTAACAGCAAGATAGACAGAAATTTGAGACATCACAGAGACATGGCAATATTGTGATATGATTATTTTCATAATATACTTGTACGTGCTAGCATTTGTTCAAAATCGGTTACTTGAGTTACGAGTACACCTATCAAATGTACATTATTTCTATCGGTGCTCATAAAAGTAGGTTATCTAACCTGAATTATCGAACTAAAAACCAACCCAATGCATGTATTGTTTTAAATTAAAATTGGCTGTAATTTTAAAGTACTTTTTATACCACTTAAATAATGAAAAGTTTTCATGAAATATTTAACGATTGTATAGGGGTAGCTGATCAATTACATTCAACTCATATCCTTCATGATAATATATACACATTTTCTAAAATATGTGTTTGATAGTCTTTGGCAGCCACGGTAATAATATATGCACATAAGATCATCTCAAAACCAGTCCAATAACCTTAAAGTCCAGAACAAACGCACAATGAAATTAAGTCGTTTTAAAATTTACTACAAACATGCAAAAATCTACTAATTCAGTTGCACAGAGCTTGGACCCGCTTCCCTTGAACTTTTTAAAACAGGTAAGCCAGGTAACATATATAAATAAGTTTATTAGATTTACAGTTATGTTTAGAGGGTATTATATGTGACAAAATTCAGTCCTCGTCAGCAACATAAAAGGATTTTTCTTAACTAACAACGTGTTACGTTTGTATGAGTTGGTATCTACAGTAATAGTAAACAATATTATCAAAGCAAACAACTACCTAAAAAGTTTTAAAACCAAAATCAAATTGATGATCTAAAAAGATCATATTTAATAAACATGTAGCCTTTAGTTATTAAACTTTGATGGCGTCTCCAGTTAAAAACAAACATCTGTTTTATTGACTCTGGTCGATCCCTCTTAAGATAATGTAGGTACGTAAACAAATATAGTTTAAGAGTTATCACGAGTATAACATTAGTTGAGGTAAAGCAGAGCGACCTCTGGAGTCGGGCGGATTTGTTCCGCTACGATAAAGGGATTAGATCGTCACGGCGCTCAGCATTTGTAACATTCTTTCGACTCTACCTACCTAATATAGAATTAAATGGCAATATTTAGGAAGAAAACAAGTAGTTCTTAGGATGTACCTGATTGAAAAAACGTTCTCTTGCCGCAGCCATACTCTCTGTACGAGGAGCATTCGTATCAAAATCCACAACATTGGCATCTTGCGTCGAGTTTTCCTCCTGCCGGACAGTACCGCCATCTGGAACGTCCGTGTTAGGTGGCGATGATTGCACCGGCGCCTCTGTGGGAGCTGGTCTTTCAGAGCTGTCTTCGGCCATGGTCACCACTTTTTGTACAGCTCCGTTGCCTTTACCACCACCCACACCGTTACTCTCCTTGCTTATACCTTTAAGTCCTTTCGTTTTTTTCTTGTTCTTCGGCTTGTTTGGCGGCTTGCTTTCCGGAAAGCGACCGCTGGCGCAGCACTGCACGTTACCCATGTCGGTGCGCGCGCATGTCGCGGTTTACTTGGTCGGCGGGAGTCGGCTCGGTCGGTCGATCGTTCGAAGCGCGTCGGCGTCGGCGCCGACTCGCAGAATGAGTGTGGCTTAAGAGTCCACGGCGTTGCGGCGCCGCCCACCCGTCCCGGATTTTTTGACGTACTTCAGAATCGCACTGACCGCCGATTACGCGGATGCCGTCCGCGAAGGATCGCACCCGAAAGCCGAACCGCGGTCCGGTCGCGCTGGCGTCATCGCTTGCCCCTGCCTCCCGCGCACCGCAAGGTCAAGGCGCGCTCATTGTTCCCACTGATGGTTACTCTACTGGCTAGACGCGAATCATTCTACTCAGATGCCCGACAACTATGCTAGGCGGCGAAACACCACCACCTCTGCTACGAACACTGTACACCGCACAGAGAGTCGTTGTGACTACTATCGATCACGCGATGTTTATGTTTGGCTACCACGGGAACCGCGCTAACAACTGAGTAACGTCATGCTAATTGCCCACCCCTGACTTGTGCATAGTTCGTACCAAACGAATAGTGTATAAAAGAGATTAAAATTTGTTAGCTAGGTGTGGGAGTACAAGCTCAGACGTCTAGTTAATAGTGTTGTTGAACGCGATCTGTATTGTTATCGTCGCGCGCGGGAGGCTGATAGCACGAGAGCGCACGTGTCATATTCATATCCGTCGTCTCGTAGCTGTAGTAAATAAACCGTTGCTCGTAAACGAGATGCGACGTCGAGGTAAACGTATTATTGCACCAGAACGATGCTGAAACCTACAGTTGTATTTGTGATTACTGTTATTGTTTTGTATAGAAAATGAACGGGGAATAAGATGTCTCGTATCATTTTTGTTTGTAATATATTTTAGCCTTAGTTGAATATCAGTTCTACAGGTCATTCCAATTACTATATATATATATATATATACATATATAGTAAACAAAAACACCCAAACTTAGAACAGCAATTTGTGGAGCACACAAAGTAGTGTCCCATGTGGGGATCGAAACCACAACACTCAGCGAAGTAGAAAACGGCGTGGCGTCCGCTTAAACCACTACGCCATCTGTGCAGTCAATAAACCTAACGACAACAATATTATAAACCGTAAGCCTGTGATAAATTAATCTCAAGCATTCTTGTCTTCTATGTTATCCACAATTGAGTAATAGGCTTTCTGACATAGTTCACGTTTTATTGTGGATTAAAATTTGTTTAAAGCATGTACATCACTTCTTTTCAAGAAGGTATCTTTGTTTTTATGAACTTATATTACATTCTCATATATATATTGACTTGCCACTACTGTCATTATGTTTATTTCTTTAAATTTCTACCTTAATAAACAACGATTACCTAAATTATAAATTGCTCGAATCCCTCTCTTTTGCAGTAGTTCTAGTTTCTAGACCCGAAAGTTTCTAGACCTCGTCGACCTCTAAAATCAGTTTTCGTTTATGTCGACCCCTGGGAAACCAATTTCGACCCTAAGGGGTCGATATCGACCACTTTGGGAATCCCTAGTCTGATTGTTGTATGTACATATGTACTTTCATTTTATAACCTTTGTGATTACCTAAATAGCTAGGAGAAAATGTGCTGAAAAAGTGCCGTGCATTTAATTCAATTTCAATCATTTAATTTATAATCAATAACCATACTGCTGATAAACAAACTTGTGTACTATATTTCTAAATACAAATACATATCTGTTTTTACAACCATATTAAACCTATTATACAGAGTAAATGATCGTGCTCATCACACAAAGTTGATGAGATTTATACGATAAAAGTAAATTACACGTATAAAACTACTAGCCCTGACTGATTGATTCATCAACGCAGAGCCCAAACTGTTCTTGCTACTAACTTGAAATTTTAGCAGCAGATGCTTTTTATGCTGTAGGCACCCATTAAGAAAGGGTTTTTGGATATTGCCCCCCTAGGGGGTAAAATAATTGTTGAATGGTTGTAGGGCAGTATGGCATTTTCAAATATGAAAAAGCGAAATAAGATATAATCACGGGTGCGACAGCCGCAAGCAACAGCTATCATGAAAACCTCACAGAGGTCAGGCCATTTATTATTCAACTTCTGTTTTGAACGTAATTTGTTTCAATAACAATGAACCTAACTATTTAAACGTAAACAATATTAATAACATGTATACATATTTATAATTAACTAACCGACTTCAAGGTATCGTGATAAATTATAATACTAGCATTCTTCATCTCTTAATTATTCATCCTTAGAGGTGGATTTATTTAAGTATTATTTTTCTAAAGCTCCTTAGTTTACCAAATATTAAACGTGTTTGTTATTTAAGAATTCTGCTGGTACCTACTTCACCATATACGTCGTGATGAGCATAAATTGATTTGAAACCATTATAAAATCATAACAAGGAAATTACGGAATGATTAATTATTATAATATTATTATATATGAATTTTTATGGTCTTTGTTTTTAATTTCACTTTACTGAATAGTGCTTTCGAGAGTTGATATAAAAATATCCAATTTGTAATTCATGTGCCTATCATTATTGAAAAGTTTCGTCAATTTCTCCAGATATCATCATGAGATGCTGACCTGACAAGTCTTACAAAAAATAACCAACTATGCCTAGTTGGACTCGATACCAATAGAACAACTGAAACCCCTGCGTCTGTTGTGCAGTCACCGCAGCGTTACATAATGATGTGAAAATAGCAAGTTCCAGTTTCTTAACGGGCGCCATAATAAAACACGCGCTGGCGCCGGCTGTTAAAACGCGCGTTATTTATGAATTCAAATATGGAACGGGATTTGTCTTGCGCTGAATACAGAGCTGATATTGTTTTTTTTTTATGTATGTAGCTTTGTATAGCCATGCATGAACAATGACATCTTTTAAACTGTAACATCTTGCCTTTCGTTTCCTGCAATCTGTGCGAGTGCGTGAAAAGGGACGGAAGTTTGTAACAGGATGACGGGGAAGCGCGCGATATTTGATTTGACCAATGAGCGTTCGTGGTGCTTGAGTAAGAGAGAGTAGAAGATCGCGGTCATACAAACATTAATTATATTAATAATGCATTCGAATCAACAACAACTCTTTTTTTTAAGCCCAGAAAGGTAAATAGCATTAAATCTAGGTGATAAATACAGCAGTGTTAATATAAATTCCTTAGTTTTATAGTATCCATTATTTATTCTTATATGTTATATTCTTTCTAAACCTTCTTTCTAAGGAGAGGCCTATGTCCAGCAGTGGACTATTAGAGGCTGTTGATGTGATGATGTGATGTGATATGTTATATTTTTCCAATATATCGATCGAAATTGATGAAAACTGTGTTAATTGAACTAACCAATTAATCTAGGTTATTTCTATCAATATTATTTGGCAGTCGAAATATGGAGCAAAGGGTGTAATGTCCCTCCACACAAAGGAAGCCGAGGTGATCAATGATCATGCCTGGCGGGCAGCGGCCCACCGTGTGGTTTTAGTCAGTGCGATTCCGACACAACACCCCGCCGCAAACCCCGGTGGGGTGACGGCTCGAGGGGGTTTCCACACGTTAAAAAAAAAGGTAGCAGCCTCTGTAGGGAGAATGCTCCTCAAAGTTCCAGCGGCTGTCTAGGGTGAGGTCAAGGTATTTAATGTGTCGGCTAACCTCGACCTCTGTTCCCTACACTCTAAGTGAGCGGGTGGGAACAGCACCTCTGCGTTTCCTGTGGAACCACAGAGATTCCACAGAAGGGGTCCTAAGACCGGCCCCTGGGAAACACCGCATGTGACCTCCCTTCGACATTCTTCGCCATCGAACTGTCGTGGATATAAACCTTGATGTTGTCCCGCAAGTAGAGGGGCCATTGGTGATACTCCAGTGCCTCTCTAATTGCCCACCACGGGAGGAAGTTAAGGGCGTTGACTATATCAAGACTCCAACTGCCAACGCCACTCCACCCCGACAGAAAACCTCTTCCGACAAGGAGCGAACGCATGTTTCGACAAAGTCACATACTCCTCCGCCACCCTCCATCCTGATACCTGGTCAATGACCGAGGCAGTCGCCCATGTCAGGTCTAATGCCCAAGTTCAGCCCAGGTATTAATTTACCCTACATTTTATAACCTTTATGTATAAATAACTAATCCAAAAAGGGGAATTCTGGGTAAACATCTAATGAGGTTGTAGTGAGCTTTAATATAAAGCCTGCACGGATTGCACCATTGCACTACCCATGCAGTACGGACCTTTTTTTTTTACAGTTACAGTTGTCACCTAGCTTGTACGCTGTGCTGAATTTACGGTATAATATTTTAGTTGTTATAAAATTAATTAACATAAGTCTGGCTATGCCTTTGCTTCCATTGTTTTGTAAGTTTATTAGGCACGCCGCGACATAGGCATCAATTTCTTGTAGGAATTTACTTTCATTAAAAGTAAAAATAATTTCCAAATTGGCAATTTTAAATTGCAAATTTTACTACCCACAGCTAAACGCAATGTACCTAACAATAATTATTATTTTCTACAGGGTTTTTGTTCTTATTACCTTCGATTCTATAGCTTCTTCAATCAGAGAATAGGATAGCATATGAATATAATATTTGTAACTGACGATGATTACTGCAATTGCAATAAAGACAGCAAATTTTCATTTATTGTAGGTGGCCCTCAATAAGGAAAGACTACATAATTCATAAATATATTATAGAAATACGATTTAAATTACGCATACAGATAAATCTAAATTAATTAATTAATTAACCATACTAATATTATAAAAGCGAAAGTGTGTCTGTCTGTCTGTATGTTAGATAACATTTGATATAGATATAATTTGAGTCCCGTGAAAGGTCATAGGATAGTTTTTATCCTAGAAATCATCCAATATATAAGGGGTGAAAAGGGGCTTTTGGCGCCCAACAATTAAGGCTGAGGTAATTGGTCATACTGTTTTTTTTTAATTTGGACTCATGTGCATGAAATAAAATAACGGATGTTCTAAATTTGCATTAAGCATAAATCTGCAGAAATCCAACCTATTAGAGGTTGGATGGCTCATGCGAATACTCGTTGGCAGAATCCGTAACAAATCATAATGTCAGCATATTCCTCGTGCGTATAGTTCTTAAACTTCAATAGTATTAGAAGCACAAATCAAAGTGCACTTAGCAATAGTTAGTCACGAATAGAAAACGAAACAGTCCAAAAATACAAGCCAAATTTTCAACTGGATACTACCGGACTTTCATCCAACTTTTTTTGTGAATTCTGCTAATATCCTAGACTATTATACCTTGTTAGATAGCTGAGAATACTATCATGTTTTTTTAATAAATCTGCAGTTTATCTTATTTTTTTATTTTTGTCAAAGAAAAAAAAGTTTTACAAATTTATTTATTTTTCTATTATTAAACATTCACTTTGGCCCACTTTTTTAAGTTAACAATTTTAGTAATTGAAATAATAAAACAATTTCTCAACTACACAAAAACAGTAAAAAAAAAATATAACGCAAAATTTCAGCGATTTTAATAAAAAAATCTTAAAAGTCCAATATCTTAAAAATGGTTATTTTGGGTTTGGTTTTAGTGAAATCTATCAGAAATGATGGCATCTATAACCCCTTAAAGTATTTAGGTCGACTTACCCGGTAACTCTGTATATACCTTTAAAAAATATTTTAGCCATACATATGATCACTTATAAAGAAGAATAAAATAAAGAATAGTCATAATTTTTCTTAAATCTAAACTTACCGTATCTGCATCACTTTCCTCCGTTTCTATAGCTACTGCTTTGTTCAAATGTTGCTCTGCATTGTCTAATTCCCTGTCCAGTTCAGCAGCTTCAAGTTCCAGCTGTGGAGACGATTGTAACTCTTCGATTCCAGACGAAGAAGGCTCACGAGCTACAGGCATCTTTAGCACCAACGGCCTGAAGTTGAGGCGACACGTATCTGGAAAAATCAGAAGCGGTCATACATGATGATGAATAATAAATTAAATTGTCTTGATTCTAACATTTACCTGAAATAGTTATTTACTTTAAAGAAAATATCAAAAAATCAAGACGAATTTTAATTAACTGTTTTCTTCATTCCTTGATTTTCCATATCATCCATGTGATCAAATGTGATATACTCATCGGATTAAATCGGTTCATTTATGAGTACTGGGATAACATACATAAAAAAATAACTTAATTTAGAACTTCCTCCTTTTATTTAAATTAACTAAAAAAATATTAACAATCAAGCCAACGGAATTTTGAAGTATTTTCAATAACCACATATTTTTAAAAATTACTCTTTATAGCCCTTATATTCAAATATTCGTAATCTACGTCTGAGGATTGTAAATTGAACCTTTCTTACAGTGTCCAACATTGTGTCACAATTAATAAAACTCAAATAAATGTTTACATCTAATTGGAATAAAATATATTCAATACAAATGTACTTATTCCATAATACATGATTTCGCCAGTAGAAGTCATGGTTGCGAACATTACAAATCTAAGTATTAAAGTGACTTCTAAATGTTAAGGCGAATTCGAACATAATCTTTCCATTGACATTATTATCACGGAATATATCAGAGGTTATTCAGTATTAAAATCTTTTAATTTTAAAGTAAAAAGTAAATACCTACTACACTATGAACTATGCCATTTTACATGTACGTAACAAGATAATATACTTAAAGTTAGTTATAGAACCTTATAGTCATTCAAAAACATAAACACAAACATCAAAATTATAATTGGCGGCAATTTATTTCTAGTTGTCATTAATTATAATATATGCTAAATGTGCTTGCAGCTTAACTTGCGTTTGCGTATTTTATGACGTAGTCTTCTAATAGTGAAAGAGGTACTAAAACCTTAAAATAGTTTTACAAACGGCTAAAACATCTTTCGTCTAGATGACATATAACACATAAATACTTGCCTCTAGAATCGTCTTTTTGCAATATTTTCATAGATTCTCGTGCGCTTTGCAGTGTTTGTTGCGTGGTTGTAGACGAAATCGATCTTAATGACACTCTTTGAAGACCACTACCCGGAAGGATCGTTGTCATTACTTTTTTTGGTTCATCCCTTTCGGGGCTACTCCTGTACTGTGTTAATAAACCTTCTTCTTGATCTGCATCAATATCTATAAAACATTCCTCAAATTGCTCAAAATTCTCTAGATCTGAGTCGAATTCAATCCTCGAACCGTGAGCTTTAGGCCTATAAAACGAATCGGAATTTCTTCTGTAGTCTTGGTGTTTCGAATCAGGTGAGGAAAAACTTCGAATCACGTACCCTCTTTGTGTTTGGGGTATAGAGCAATCAGAATCGTTTTGTGCGCCTGGTGATGAATAACTCCTCGGTAGCAGACTTTTGCTGCTTTGTACTTTTCGCTGTTGTTGTTGAAGAGTTCTTGTTGATATAAGACTTCTGCCTCGACTAGAAAAGTGGGTCAGCGGCGATGGATCTTTACGCCGCATGTTTTAGTATTTAACTTGCTGATTTTAATTAATTCGCAGGACGTGTGGAATCGTAAAGATCTCTTGACGAACTGCGATATGAAATTGTACTGCTGTCGCATTTAATTTTATTTGTGATTTATTAATATTGAGTTCCAACAGATCGTGTTACGATATTTTGTTACAAGGTCGATCGCAACGAGATGATATGTCATATAGTAAGCAACGGTGAACACGACCGATGTACAGACACATTTCTACACATATGCTCATTTAGTGTGATTAGCAGGACAAGGGCTTACCTTCGCCTCGCTCTTTAAGAAGATTTATAATTTTGCCTTTAGTTAAAATTTTACGTAATTAGGCCAAAGTCTTTACCAAATTTTTACTGAAATTATTTGCTGCTTTTCTTTGTAACTAAGTTTCCTTATTCGAGCACTATTTGTTAACAATTCACACGCATATGGTACAAAGTTCCAATCCACTTTTACATATATCGTTTGTGTTAAAATTTATTGTCTTTACAATATATGGTTCAAGTGCACGATGTCGAATAATCACAAGCCAACTAAGCTCAATATTATGGTCGAAGAACCTTGTAGGCTAGATTCGTGGGCGAACAGCTTTCTCTCACAAAGTTTAGTTCCAAACCCATATGATTGCATGACCGTAATCAATGTTGATTACGATTATATCAGGATCACGCAGTACGCTGTAGTATGCAATTTACTCGTAAAAAATTATCTTGTTTCCTATCTTAACTTCATATTGTAATTCGGCTTATAATAAATATGTGCTATGTTATGTTTGTTAGTAACATTGATTTTTACAATAGAAATACCTACAGGATAGGTATTTAATTGTTAAACTGGACACAAGTCACTAAGACAATTACCAATGCCCTTGGGGGTTCTTTCCCAATAGCAGCTTGTAGTTTTTTTGAGATTCGGAGTGGAATTCGAAAACTAAACCACGACCGGCATGGACAGCAAATCTAATGGCAAAAGAAACTCCAGCGACCACAAGTTGTTATGGCGACCACGCTATGACAGTCAAGATTGATTTCATAATTTTGGAGATAACGGATTAAGCTAACGTTATCAATTACTTCCTCTTAATTCAAGTGAAGTTTCAATGTTCATGTCTGAATTCAATTACAATTCAAGCTGTGAGTTCCTTTTAATTGCTGAATTCAATATTGAGCAGAAATAACAATTAAATCTCGACTCGTTTTTTTTTGTGTAAGTATGTTAATTTCTTATAAATTTAAGAATTCTATATCACCTTTTATTATTCAAATATCTTACTTATCAGTATACTTCCACAATGTGCAGTCCTTATTATATATTGGGGTAATTTATGAAAGTGTTTATTTTAATCATTTGTTGACAAGTTATTTCAAAATGTTTGGCAGAAGGTCACTGCATGCTTATGTCGGTCAGTGTAGTTTTAGTACATTTTGTTTAAAATACCTAGAACTTACGCAAATCGGTATCGATATTTGCATTTATAAAGCTAAGGAATTTTTTGTTTGTTTTTTTATTTAAATACGTAAATTCCTGGTACTTTAAGTCAGCTTTGAACAATTATCTTTATATCTGATAGGATGTTTAGGCCGGTTATAGGCTATGTAACTAGTAAAATTGAAACTGCGGAAACAGTGGGTATATTTGAGTAAGACCGATTGATACTTTTTTATAATTTCTAACTGGACTTTAAGTCTGAGTGGAAATGATATGGAATTGAATAATGAAATTGAAAAAAGATAACTTAATTCCTTCGCCTTTGTAGTCTTTAAGTCTTAGACAATCTGTTTTATTTATAACTAATGATTCGCCCCGGCTTCGCACGGGTGCATTGTAGCTACTGCTAATACTACTAATGTGGTGTCTGTGTGGAGTAATTAATTATACTATTATTATGATAGGACTATTTATACTACAGGACAACTTTATATGCCATATTTATAGACCCGCTCCGATCCTGCCGCGGCCGTCGCGAGTGGCGGCGGCCGCTTTGCCCCCACATTTTAAACCTCTAATATCTTCTAAACTATTCATTTTAATTATATCCTGTAAAGATTAATTTTAATCATTACAGTAAATGCACAATTTATCTTACCTATTTAATTGGATAAGGAATAATAATGTATTGTTTAAAATAGCTTCGTAAATAACCCATTTTTTTTTTGTAATATTTAAAAGATAAAAATGGTAACTGTGGGTTATCCTTAGTAGATAGACATATACCATCGCAGACTTTTTTATGATATACAATTCGAGCAAAAAAAAAAGCGATTTTATTTATTTATATACTATGTAATAAAGATACAAAAAGGGCTATCCTCGAAGGTTTTTCTGCAAACGCGAAAGAGGGTAATTATGGATATTTTAATATAAATCACTATTATACAATTAGTTTACTCGAATTTCAGAAAACGGTTCATGGCGCCAAACAGTTTTAACTGATAGTTATGTTCACTTTGTCTCGTCAATATTTATCACTATTATAAATGAGCCGGTTGACAATGAAGTAATAGTCGTAAAATGATTTGATGTTCTCTATAAACCTACAAGTCCATACTGTTATGACACAGTTGCACTTATAAAGTTCATGACAACTATCACGAATGCAATAATGTATTACCAACAAGAAGTTAAGTAAGTGCGTAGCTGAACGGCATAATATGAATTGGAATTGTGTAATATCATGTTACCATAACTGCAAAACTCCTATTCCCTCCTTGTAGGCAAACTGTTGTCTGTCGCGAGTGGGCCCTGACCTATTAGACAACCAGTTTGGCTTCCGACGAGGACGTTCGGCGATAGACGCGATCGAACGTGTCAGGTCCCTGTCGGAGGAGGTTGTCTGTCGCTGGGGAGTGCCTTTGACAGTCTTGACATAGTCGACGCTTTTAACTCCCTCCCACCAGTTACCCTCCTACCTGCCGGGCATTATCGGGGGTTATCTTCACGATAGGTCCTGGAGGATCGTCGGATCTGGTCCCCTGATCCCCAATGTAATGTACCACCATTTATTTATTGTATGTTTCGTTGACTAAAACGAACCGCGGTCCTCCATTAGAAACTATGAAGAAAGAAGGAAAAATCTACGAAAATATCAGAAATATATATAGAAGGAAATCAGAATTTGAATAAAACTTGAATCAAATAACAAGGCCGGACTCGGAATCATTGTTATCTTAAATATAGATTTTTCATGTAAACAATATTTTAATAAATTATCCTAATACACACGCTAATATTAGCCAGTACTCGGATATAGTCTTTTAATATAAACCCATCCACTACAAAGAAATAAGAATAACATACCTAGTTTACATAATCAATACAAAAGCATGTGCAGCGTTACTTTTAAAGAGTCACTAGATCATTAAACTACGCCCTCTGTGCATAATGGAGTAAACAACATGATTTTCTAGCGAGGCAATGTTGTACAGTAATTTGTAGTACCAGCTCTTTCCGAAAGATGGATTTAAAAGACGAAACGGTAGCAACGAACCCGATTAACTGCTTCTTTATATTCTTACTAGATTGCGCTGCAGTTGCAGGCTGTGTAAGGTTAAGTATATTAGTTAAGTATCAAAATGTAGTTATTGTTGTCTAATATTTATTCATTTGTCATCTCATCATCATTTGGTAAACCAACCGATGACAAAATAGTTTTTATTTTTTTTATTTATTCATTGCCAATTGAGTAACACAACTAAACAAGAAATTACTTCGCCTTAAACATTCCAAGTGTTAAAATACTTTACTTTCTGGTAAAGGTGTATCTGCCAACGTTGTAATGCATTTGTCTGTCGATACATAACTTTTTATATACCGTAATAGATTGGATAGCGCTACAATATTACAAGCGTTGTGTAACCAAGCAAAACCCAAGCCTTTTTTTCTTCTATGCAAATCTTGAAAACAATTAATTTAACGCTGTTTAATGTTCAGCAAGCTTAAGTCTTATTATAGTGTAAATAATAAATGGATTCATTTTTTTTTCAGTAGTTTCCAGACACTTTTACTAGACAATTTGTTCTTTAAGGCTAAGTAGATGGTACCGACCACGTACCGACATTTTCTTTGTCAATCTTTGAATGAAGATGAACCTTGAATAGAAACATCACAACAAATTATAGGGTCCAATTCTACATAAGCTAACAGCACTAACTTTGTTACAGTTTAGTTAATAAACGCTAATTAATTTACTTAATTGTTCTGGTTTTTTCTTTACTACGTAGATAACTTAGTATTTTTTTTATTATCATGTAATAACTTACTTACTTTATAAGTAAGTAACGTTAGATAAGTTTTAAGTACGATTTACTTAAGGTTTAAGCTTTTTTATTAAAGTTTTAAGTTTCATAATATTCAGTTATATTATTATGTTTATTTTTAACCGACTCCAAAGGGAAGTTTCTTAATTAGGTTTTTTTTTAAATTTGCTATATCACAACTTTACTCCGTCATTTATGAACTGATATGGAATTGTTTTTATTTGTGGTCACCTCCCGTTTGTTTTCATTAAAATTTTAAGATAAATATTACCCCTTTTTTTTCGTGCGGAAATCCCCTCGGATACCACCTATCGGTTTAATGTCGGACTCGAACCGACTAAAACCGCACTCTGTCTCCGGTGCTATTAGCCGGATAACCAGGAATAGCCGGGGAACCAGGGAGAAAGGATAGAAACTTAAGGAATGAATAAAAAGGTTATTGCAATTCATCATTAATTCATTATGTAGGCGCGCTTATATAAGTAAATTATCGTCCTAGTATAGGTACAATTTACTACTTAAGAATTAAAATCTGCAGAAGATGAATCTTGAAAGGTCAGGACTTTTTGCCTCGCTCAACCAATCTGTGGAACCCGACCGATACGACCTTCAAGCCTTCTAGAAAAGAGCGTCCTCCTTACTAAAAGGCCAGCAACGCGCTTGTGATGATTGCAGTAGTCACTTTCCATCAGGTGATCCGTCTGCTCGTCTGTCTCCTCTGCAATAAAAA